CCCTAACCCTAACCCTTAAAGTGGACTCAATGTGCACTATTTCTAGCAATCTGCAAAGGCCCATATAGTCTGCAATAGATTCCTCCCAGAATACTTGAGGGTGCGGGGTGGATTATATGGAAGTAGACGATCCCTTCAGTAAAACTGATCCCTGAACCCACCATAGTTGTCGGAGTCTGATTTACCAACACAAAGACCAGATCTAGTGACTGAAAAGGAGTAAGAATAAGGAAATATGGGCTGTCTCTGATACATGGGGTGTATATAATGATTTAAGGAAGCTGAGGCAGTGGGGCGTGGGGGCATTTTTTATGTTGAAGACTACATTTCCACAGGGAAAATCTGCTGGGATCACCCCTTCTCTTTCTTTCTACCATCCTTTCTCTCTCTTCTGCCACACCTTCACTCTGTCTATCTCTCCCTGTCCCTTGATCTGCCAGAGGAAGAACAGATCATGCTTGCCGCAGGACTATGTAATGACTACATGCGGATAGCTCTTGACAAGTCTGGCTCTACTATTAGGCAGAGTGGTGATGTGTCTTCAGGTTGTAGAGTATCGAGAACAGGGAACTGGGTACTCTATGAAACATGGGACAGTCCCTGATGCTCTAGAAAAACTTTGCTACTTCGAGCTGGTTTCCCCAATAACCCACCATCAGCAGGTGCTGAGGATCTCTCAGACCAAAGCATTTAGGAAATACTTAGTAGAACCATGGTGGTTTTTTTGGTTTTGTTTTCATCTTGTGGCCAGCACAATGCTATGCATAACATTTATGGACTGTGATGGGCGTACCACCACTGAAACGTTTGGTAGGATGTTGCCACCACATGAGATGTTGTGTCCTTGTTTCTAAATACTTACTAAAAACTAAATAGGACTGGCTTCCTGCATTCAAGAACTGAAGCATAAGCACTGAATTTTCCACTGTTAATGCTAAGGAATCCTGAGAGCTATAATTCAGTAAAAGAATTTCAGACTTTCCACAAAACTGCGGTTCAGCTGCTTCCATTTTAAAAACCACTGCTTGGAAAATTAACTTTTTGGGATACAGCCTTTAGAATCCCCCAAATAGCATGGCGTCAGCCAGTGGCCATGTTGACTGGGGGATTCTGGGAGATTAGTCCAAAGCTTGATTAAAATGGGCAACATGAGATAGAGTGCAGATGTGTCAGTGTAGAGCACAGTCAACGAGGCTATCAACCAATTAACAGACTTTTAATAACCTGTCATTTAACTGAGTGCTTGATTAATTTGTCAATTAAAATTTAATACAATTGACATATTGACAAATCCTGCCTTGTTGCAGAAAGCCAGGGTCATGTAGTGGTTTGAGTGTTGGAGTGGGTTAGGGTTAGGGTTAGGGAATCATGGGAACTGTATTTTATTGTGGCACCAGAGCTCTCTGACAGAGAAGGCTCAATGTCTCAGAAAAAACAACAACAATTCCCATGATTCCCTAGCACTGAACCAGGGCAGTTAAAGTGGACTCAATCTGCACTATTTCTGGCAGTCTGCAAAGGCCCTTAGACTCTTTTTTTTCCCCTCATAAAATAAAGATTCCCTTCCCTCTGCACCTTCAGATACTAATTTAACCAGCTCACCCTTCCCTCACAAAAAATCCAACCTTTGTCCACTTTTTAAATTTTCCTTTTTAAAATTTCCCCCTCAGAATTAAAAATGTACGGTAAATTGGCTTCAAATTGCTGTTTTGCTTGATAGCTGAGTGGACAGAGATGCCACCTTCAGTATGTTCTGAAGATTATTCCATTTCAGAAAGTGTGGAAGAATTCCCAATTATTAAAAAGCCAGTGTGGTGTAGTGGTCTGAACACTGGACTGACTCTGGGGACCTGGGTTTGAATCCCTGCTCAGCCATGGAAACCCACTGGGCAAGACCTTGGGCAAGTCACACTCTCTCAGCCTCAGGGGAAGGCCATGGCAAAGCTCCTCTGAACAAATCTTGCCAAGAAAACCCCATAATCGGTTTGCCTTAGGGTCACTGTAAGTCAGAAACACACAATAAGTTACTGTACTATATTGTTTATATCGGGGCCGGCAACCTACGCACTTACCGGCCCAGGTTGGAAATCAAAATGGTGGCCATGACATGTGCGGAGGCGGCGCGGGTTGCATGCGGTGGCAGGGGGTGCGCGCACGCCACCATTCCCCCCCCCTCAGCCCGGTGGAGGGGAGGACTTCGGGGGACCGGCCCCCAGCTCAAAAAGGTTGCCTACCCCTGGTTTATATTGTGCTGTATATTGTGGTATATTGTACATATATTGTGTTATCTCTCTCTTTATATATATATGTATATATATTGTGCTATATATGTATACATATATTGTGCTATATTATATACACAACAAAAGTATAATACCTTGTTTCCTTCAAAGGAGCCACTGTATGCAATAAACATGCATTTGTTTCACTATTAATGCATCATCAGGCCCAGTAAGGAGAGAAAGAAGAATATAGCATAATAAGATAAACTTTGGAGCCGGCCAAGGATGAGGGCCAGGGAGACGAGAAAGACGGTATGAAAAAGTGCTTGTCTTCAGTGACAACTGATGCATTCTGTGAATCCTTTAATAGAAATAAAAAGAGTTAAACCGAGATCTTTAGTGTACACTTAATAAATTTCAGTGATGAAAATGTTTGCTTGCAAATGTAAATATTACTGCAGAGGGAAGTTAATTTACGTGAATGTTGATTCATGTGTCTGTGTTTACCAGACCAGCAAACGGTTCAGCTCAGGCTGAATTACATTGAGCCCTGGGGTGGGATGTGTAGAGGTCCAGCCTCACAGGATGGAGCAAGGACATGAACACCTTTCACACCAGGCAGCTGTCAGGGACACATGAAGTGACAATGCCCTCCATAGCTTTGGGAAGTATGCTTTTGGGCTACTGGAAACTGGAAAACAGGCAGAAAACTGGAGAGGAGTTCATGACTTTTAATGATTGTGCAAAAGGGGGAATGTCAGTAGGTGTTGCTTGTTATGCGATCAGGTGGTTTGAGTGTTGGACTACGACCCTAGAGACCAGGGTTCAGTTCCTAGCTTGGCCATGAAACCCACCAGGTGACCTTGGGAAAGTCATGTGTTAATCTCTATGTGTAGCTGGAATGCTACAAGTAATGACTATAGTATAACTAGCAGTGATATAGGAGCTTATCCCAGTAACAATTAAAGCAGCTTACCTGAACCGGCTTAACATTTAAAGCGGGCAGCATCCTGATGTTATCAGAAGGATTTAGCCACCAAAAATCGCCATTTCCTTAAGCCAGAAAACTCCCGGCTTCGAAAAGAGGTGTGCTGAGTGCCCCAGTGAGGGG